GTTAGGTGAGCAGTGAGCAACCGGATACTGAATCTCTTAATATTTATGCAAGGAAAGCTAAAGACTCCGGCATATCTATAAGACTCCTATTGCTTTTCAGTACTTATATACCAACTGCTTTCTGAGTTTAATCGCTTCGTGATTCAAACCCTAAGCTACTAAAAATGTACTACTCAATAGCAGATAATTTTATCGAAAAAATATGGTTATCAAGTTTATGGGCTGCATTTCTGATTCAATTTTAGATAAAACTCCGAAAAGTGCTCTAATTTTGAAAAGTCATATTAATAAATATTCCAATTATAAATCTGTTTAAAAAACAGAAACGATCGATAACTAAAAATTTTATAAAAAAAGAACGTATGCCAGTGGTAAATGTCCAATGATTCCAAATATATTCTTACGCCCAAATTGTTAGAAAAAAGAAGACTTTATCTGCCAGTTTTAATAATTTGTATAACTTTGTAACGGCCCTTAGTGGGCCAATATCTCAAAAAAAAAGACGTTATAAAACAAAACTGAGAATGCATTCTATCTACATTTGAATACTATTTCTTGGCCTTCTAAATATATTCTTAAGAAAATTTCAAAAGTTAAAGAACTACATACGTACAGTGTAATTGGAAGCCAATCGCTTCGTGTAGTATTTTTTAGTTTAGATACTGCAAAAAGTGCTTTTTATTATTTGGGAAATGAAACCGAAGTAGATCGTGGGTAAAGCGGAGTAGCGTAGTAAATTTCTAATTTTCGTCAAAAATCGTAGCAAAACTACTTCGATCGTAGTGAAGTTCTAACGCTGGTCCCAAATCTTGGTGGAAAAAATTCGGAAAATCAAACTCTTTAAATTAATTTTTTTTCTACGTTTGCTTATATCGCGTGCACCTGGGTTCCTAACCCCTATAACAGTTTAATATGGCTGTATCAATCACTCACGTATAGTTGAATTTTGCCCTGAAAATCATAGCTTTACTTTAACGCAGCTAGTGGTCTACAAAATTGTCACATTTTAAACATTCCTATATCAGTTTTATAGACTGATCTATACGCTAAGGGATAATGTAAACTGTTTTCTATTTCTAATAATTAGTTATATTTAAAACTGGCCAACAAAAGTTAGTGTTTGCAAATTTGTATATTACAAAATTCAAAATGGCATAAGTTAGGTTGTGCCCATTTGTCCGAAAATAATTTATGCGACAATGTTGAATAAAACTTAAGCTTTAAACAAATATTATTCCACAATACTGTGCATAGCCTTTTCACATTTTTCGTCATATCTTCGGCTGTCTGAAAGAAGATTTTTTTTTTAGCGCTCAATGACCTCAAGCACCCCCTTTTAGTACCTACTCACCTGGTCACCCTAATGTCAGGAAGTACATATATTTATTACTCCATTAGAATAATTAAAAAAAATTTACTGATTGTTGATGTCACCGCACCGAGAAATATAAAACGGAACCCTCTAGGTTCGGCAAAAAAAAATGTTTTTCGAAATTTCCTTGCAAAAAACTTTAGGTATGTATGTTCGTTAAACTTTTTTATTTTGCTTGTAAGGTGATATAGACTAACGTTCATGTAACCTAGCATGTGAGTTAAATCTCATTTAGAAAGCCGAGAAGTAATTTAATTACAACGGAGCAACATTGTATCGAAAAGGAAAATGGCACGTGCAACTACAGATAAAATAACGACAGCCATACAAATTAGTATATGCAATCCAGACGAATCTAATTACACTTGCCTACTTTTCTGGAGTAGAAAATTAATTTATTTAGTTAAATCGTAAGTTTTGAGACTTTTGATTTAAAGTTTCGACAGCTCAAGTAATTAACATAGATAACAGTCTTGAACAAACTTAATCACTTCTTAATGAACTAAGTATATTACGTTTTTGCTGGGCATTCTATATTAATACTGGTCCTTCTAGTGCGGTATATAAACGCTAGCTACTGCCAGTGAGCATTCAATTTGTTTTAAACGACGTTTGAAAGCAACCATGGCTTATCCAAATTATTTTCCAAAACTTCTCATTCTCATTTGTATGGGCATTAGTGTCATACAAGCTGGCAGCTCTTCCAGTTCTGTTGTTAAAGGGTCTTTGTTACCAAGTCCACGGATATTGAATGCACGTGTTGCCGCCAGTGGTCAGTTCCCCTACCAAGTTTCGGTACGCGTAGGTGGACAACATAATTGTGGTGGCGTTATAATTTCTCAAAATTATGTACTAACTGCAGCGCATTGTGTATACAGGTAAGATCATACGTCATACTAATGTACATACATATATTTATATGTAGTTTATAAATATGTAATCTTTTAGTTTCCGCACATCTCAGCTAACAGTACAGGCGGGTTCGATTAATCGCACTGAGGGTGGTGTAGTTGCCGGTGTATCAAAGATTACACCTCACGAAGAATTTTACTTTTACAACAATGATATCGCCTTACTTAAGCTTAACATTTCACTCGAGTACAGCGATATTATACAACCAATAACGTTAGCTGCTATTTTACCACCCGCTGGTGTACAGGTTACTGTGTCTGGTTGGGGACGTATTCGTGAAGCTGGTCCACTTTCTGAAACACTGCTGTACGCCAGAAATCTGTTCGTTTTGAAAACTGAAGCTTGCTCTAAATTTGTGGGTTCGAGTACACTCCAGATACTTTGCCTGCAAAAGGTACCCGGAAATGGAATTTGTGATGGAGATGATGGTGGTCCAGCTGTTTATCAAGGCTTTTTGATTGGCATTGCCAGTTATCACTCAAATGGATGTGGCAATAATAACCCGGATGGCTTTACTAAGATACCATACTTCAGAAGATGGATAGTGGAAAACTCTGATTTGGATTCCGAAATTGCTGGATAAAAGTGAAGGATATGTACGTCTTCAACACTTTATTAAGGAATGGGAATAAAAAAATAAATAATTGTATCAACATTCATTTTGCAATTTAACTTGAAAACTTGTTTTAAACATATACAGATTTGAAATAGAAAATAATAAGGCATAGTTGGTTGGTTACATTCTCTGATATACCCTGCTGATTGTTTAAATTTTATAGCTATTGAACCACTCGCTTACATTATCTATGCGCCGTTGATGAAAAAGCCTAATCCCAAGAGCTTCAGTCGCCTTGTATGGAGAACTTGTATGGAACTGAACATTTTCATAGAAAATGGCGTATCTCGACCTCATTGTTGGTTCAATATTTTTTGATAAGAACTCTTAATGTGGTTTTGTTTCTTCCTGCCAAGCTGGGATATAATTTCTAAATCCAATTCCACCCCACGCAAACTACTTTTTCCATCTTTGAGCCAACGGTGTAATAAGTAATACCATAACTTTCGGTCACAATGATTCTCTAGTTGTACGGGCATCTTGGTTAGCCTCGATTTTACTTTCACTTATGATTTCTGTGTCCTTCCACAATTTGTATTACTTTATTCTGAGAGCTCTGTTTGCGACTGCTCCAGTTATGCGCACTTGAGATCTTCTTCAACCCTTCTTGGGGTGCATTAATTACTGCGCCTATTATGCTGAGGATAACAATATGCTTTACCCTTCCGATTATTCTCTACTTGCTAATTTCTATCACTCCAATTTCATAAATTACTCATGATCGACAAAATAAATTCCATCAGATCATTATTTTTTTCACAAAAATTTGATGGTAAATAATATAGCCAAGTCATCCGCTAAGACATCTGCGCTTCTCACCTTAAACCTTTCCAATTATTTATTTAAGTAGAACCAGAACCCATATCCTAATAAAGGCCACTTGTTGCTCTTATAAAACGCGGACCCTATGGCTACTGCCTAGCGAACTCCTGTATATTGATTACAGAAACTATGATGGTGCTTTTAGCATTTGGGATTTCAGTTATTTTAACCTATTTTTTGTTTGAAAAAAAAAACTAGTTTCCAAATAACATTATTCCAGCGCTTATTCCTGCCCTATTTATGGCAATTCTTTTTTCTGAATCAATAGCGTATAACTTTGAATATAGACAAAATATATCCACGAAAATAATTTTTCGAAATAACTCGATCACCGTTTTTATATTTTGATGAGCGAAATGCAAAACATTTATTTTAACGAAAATGGGAAATTCATAATACCTGTGAAATTGGGTTTCGTAAGTTTTGGGACAATTTTTGGGATTAGTTTGGCATTTTTGCGAGACGTTCTGAGCTTTGTTGAGTCTTTGTATTTCTTGTTTTTGTGTTTGAATTTAGGATCTAGTTTATTTTAGTCGTTTCGTGATTTTTCGTTTTTCCTTTTACTAGACTTTTTATTTATTTAATTTTTTTTATTTTTTATTTTTAGGATTTTTTTTTTAATTTTCGGGGGTTTTTCTATGAATTTTCGAACTTTGGAAAAATGTTGCCTAATCTGAGTTCACGAACTAATTCATCTCTGTTCTTTTTTGTCTACTTTAATTTATGATCCAACGAATGTATGTAATTTTGGGTTAAACACACTTTGATTGAATATAAACACTTTAAATAAGTTGAAATGTCATGCATATGTACGGTGACCATCCGTCCTGTATTATACGGGACAGTCCTCTTTTTT